GGAACCGTTTCCATCCCACCCTACCTGTAGAGGGCGCCGTTGTCCTCCAGCTCCTCCCCTCCCCACCTGCCCTTGATGTCCTCGATGACGTGGTTCTTGAGGAACTTGCGCAGCAGCTGCACCGTTTGCTGCCGGCTGACGTCGGGCCCGAAGCTGCGGTGCCCGCGGAGCACGGGGTGCAGCCAGTCCGCGGCCTCGGCCGCCGTGAAGCAGCTGCCGTGCGTGCGGAGCCGCTGCCGGTGCCGCCGCAGCGGCATCCCCGCTCGGAAGTACCGGGTCAGCTCGTTCCACTGCGGGGACACGGACACGGTTATCGCGATCGGGCCGCTGACCGGCGGCGGTGTCGGGATAGAGGGTGCCTCTGAGTGTACGCGTGTCGCGACAGAAGGGTGGAAATAGAGCGGGACAGAGGGAGGTCTCCAGGTACCCCCACGTACAATATCGGGGTGTGCCAGGGTCAGCCAATGTCGTGACAGAGGGCAGGGGAGTGCCAGGGCACCTATATATCATAGCACAGGGTGTCCCTGAGCAGCCAGTGTCGCGACACAGGGCAAAGGGGTGCCAGGGCGCTCATAGATCATGAAAGGGTGTCCCCGAGCAGCCAATGTCGCGACAGAGAGCGGGGCGTCCCCGGGCACCGGAATAGGGGGAAAACGGGCACGGGAGAGGAGGGCTCCAGGCACCGGTGTGTCGTGACAGGGAACGGGGGAACCCAGAGCACCCACGTGTCGTGACAGGGAGCGGGCATGGCACATCCCCAAGCGCATCTCTGTCGTGACAGCAGTCCCGAGGGGCAGAGCCACCTCCCGTCCCCCAGCGCTCCAGCAGCCGCGTCCCCACTCGCGCCCGGCCCCAGTCGGTGCTCACCAGCCTCGTGGCTCGGTACGGCCCAAGCCCCGGTTCCAGCCCCGGCCCCGCTCGGTGCTCACCGGTCTCGTAGCTCGGTACGGCCCAGGTCCTGCTCGGTGCTCACCAGTCTCATAGCTCGGTACGGCCCAAGCCCCGGTCCCGCCCAACCCCGCTCGGTGCTCACCAGCCTCGTGGCCCGGTACGGCCCAAGCCCCGGTTCCAGCGCTGGTCCCGGTCCCGGTCCGGCCATGGCGGCCCCTCAGCCGGGGAGAGCAGCGCCCCCTACCGGCTCCGCCGCGCGCACAACGGCCGCAGCCGCAGCTCCGCCGTTCAAATCCGCCGGCGGCCGCTGATTGGCCGAGACAGGCGCACGTGCGCGTGACGTCACGCGTTGGGCCGGGCTGAGGGGACGCTGCAGGCCGCAGGTTCGAATCCCGCTCCGAGCACCTTCACAGGCGTTAATTACGGTTAATTAACCGTAATTGCAGAAATTCATTAATCCCAGCTCGTCACTTAACAGTCATTAATGTGCTGGGACAGCTGGCCCCGCCTCATGTCAGAGGTGCTCCTGAGGTGCAGGGGTGGCACTGGGGGGAATTTGAGGTGCATTCCAAGCCAAAGCAGTCTGGGATTGTGTGGGATGAGGAGGGTGGGGTGGGAACACCTTCAGTTTGGTTTTGTCAGGATTGAATCCCTCTGTGCAATGGAGCTTATTCTGAGTGTGGCCAATACAGAATTGTCCTGCCTCAACTCCATTCCCTCCCCTCAGCTCCATTCCCTCCTGCCTCCCCACAGGAAAATTCCAACAGCTCCAGGCTCACTCCAGCCCCTGATTCTGAACACAAGCAGCACGTGCAAATGGAAACACAAGCAAGGAAAGGAAAAGCGTGTTTTAATTTAAATGATTCCAGTAATTCTCACAGCACATGATTTTTTTCTTAAAAGAGAAATCCTCTTTAGAAAGTTATTATTTACCAGGTGTTGGAGTTCACTTCATTTTCAATAAAACATCAAGAGAAGAAAAAGCTCTTAAGCAAATTTCTAACCTAATTAAAATAAATCTGAGCTCAATTAAGTTTTTGAGCCGAGCTGATGGGGGAGAGGAGAACGAGCTGAGAGCAGGAACAGGAGCCAGCCCTTGTGCCCCAAAGGCTGCAGCAGCAGCACAAACACTGAGCTCTGCTGGCAGAACTGGCATCACATTCCTGGGGTGCCCACGGCTGCTCCCACACAGCTCCGGGCTCCAGACAGTGCCAGGGAGAGCCCAGGCTGTGCCCAGCACACCCTGCACAGCCAGGGAGAGCCCAGGAACCCAGGCTGCAATTCCCAAAGGCAAAGCAAGAGGGGCTTGGTTTTCC